TGGTGTTTTGCTAGCCTTGAGACTGTGTCAATAAGCTTACTGAGGTAATGTCAGAGGGTGCTGAAATCTTGAAGTTATCTTAAAATTCAACTTTTGCCTCCAGGCTGTAAAAATTGGACCTCTCTCTCACAGTGCCTTTGTGCCCGCAATAAGGCTCAGCAGATATGTTACTAGATTTCTGTGGGCTACAGAGGAGAGTAACTTACCGTTCTGATTTGTTTTGCTCCTTCAGCTCCATTGGTTAGAGAGGTCCAACAGCTTCCGATACAGCATCCTGAATTGCCGGGGTGTCCTTCTTCCTAACTTGCATCCAGAGGCTCTGAGAGGCTCCTAGCACATATAAATCTTGTACTTTTGAAAGCATGATTGAAGCCAGTGCCTTGGTTTTTTAAATGTTTTTTCCAGAGGATTAAGATGGGCTTTCAAAGCTAGAGAGAGAGCTTCTTGCTGTAAATCCTATGCAAAAGAAACCTGATGAACTCAGTTTCAAAATGGTGAAGGAGAGGTGGGCATCTTTTCTGGAACCCAACTGAGAGCAAAACAGCCCTCAAAGTACTCTTAAGTACAGTTTGCTGGATGGCTTAAATTCCAGCATTAGTAGAAAAGGAGAATCTAAAGTTATTTTTACTGAAATAACAAAGTGCTAGCATGCACTTTAACTTAAACTGCTCAGAAATCCACTGTGTAATCTACAGTTTCACCCTAATACTGTTTTCAGTAAGCAGGACAAATCTATTTCCTGGCAAAGGGTTGAACAGATGGCAATCCATTAGCAAACCTGGCTTTTCAAAGGAAAGTATTACTATTTCAGAATTACACATTCCTTTTCATTACTAAAACTATGCTTTAAAAAATACACAATACACAAAAATGCAAATTAGTCCCAATTTAAATATAAGCATCTGTCGTCTGTGTCAAGGATATGCCTAACCGTTTGGCAGCGGTGCCAACATTACAGTCTCCCTGGTTGTAAGCCAGGGCTGTTATTAGTGTGAGGGAGATAAAACATCACAGAATGGTAGGATGTGACGTGCAAAAGGAAAATACAGACAAGAAGAAATAGATTTAAATGCTGCACCTGGCCTGCAGATGGCCGTTTCGTCAGGGGGATACACTTCGTCACCTATAACATGTTGCTGCTACATCAACTGAAAAGGCTGGGCTGAAGCAACCCCAGAAGCAACTAGACCAAGCCTAGTGCTTCCAGATATTTCCTCTGTAGTCTTTCTTTCACAGCCATGGAAGAAGGGAGGTGCTACATGGTGAGATTTTCCAGACTTCTGTTGCTTTTATTAAAGCAGACGTAGCTAGGTTTACTGTCACTATGCTTTGCACAGCTCTGCTGTGATCTGGGCGCAGCCCTGAAAAGTCTTGTACACTCATATGCACCTTGCCATGTCCCATGGAGAGCTCAGCGCATTGAGGAAATAGCGAGCGTTTCAGGAGAGGCGGCATTAATAACCTTGCATTGCTGAGGGAATCGCTGCTTGATCTCTGGCCAGGAAGTGTTCTGTATTTCCCCCTGCTAAGGGTCACCGAAACGGTAAAACATCATACATCAGAAATCTGAACTACACTCTGACGTGCTCTCCTCCTGGACAAAACATATACACTGTATTCTAATACGGAGATGGGACTTTTCTTAAAGCCTGATGTAAATGGAATTCAAAACCTGTATGGTAAAATGAATTACCATTTAAAGGTGAAGGGCATGTTGTGTGTGAATGATTGAAAGCCAATTACATTCTGGAAGATTACTTCAGTCCAAAGCACAGGAATTAATTTCCTTAATTCCTGTCATCATGTGCCTTTCTACCTGCACAAATGTGTGCAGGTTCCATTAGGGCTTTTTAATATGTGGAACAAGTTCACAAAATAATGGAAATTTTAATCACTTACAATTTAATCTCAAAGGTTTTTGCCTGACCTTTGCATGGTGCTCTGCTGGGAGGAGGCGAAGGAATCAGCAACTGTTTCAGGGAGGAAATGTAAAGCAATGGAGCTATGTGTGGGTACCGCTTAGGGAGCCTAAGGAGGGTGGCCCCAGTGTTTGGGAGCTTTGGGAGGGGGAAGAGCCTGCCTGCTGGGCATCCTCCAACAGCCAAGTAAGTCTCCTCTGTAAAAAAGTGCACCCTTCCTATCTTTATTGCAAATGTCTTACATCCTGAATCAATACCACCCCATCAGTAATCCCCAGTGTCCATCAGAGCTAACTGGGAGAATTTTTTAGGCCAATTCAAAGCTTAAACCCTGAAGGTGTAG